TAGAACAAATTTTTTAAAAATGTTCATTAATTATTATCATGAAATATAATCATGAAATTGTTTTTGTGACGTGTGTTAATTGTTGCCTTCCCCAGTGCTACTTGTCTTGCATTCATTAATTTCATTACAGTATCAAATAGACTCACATTAACATACATATACACCCCTACAGAAACAAAATACATCACAATATCAATATATTGTAGCCTATGGAAGAAAATCACAAAATGAAATTCCTAAATAATGAGATTCATGCATGATCACAATAACTCATTATACATGATGGATCAGTTAGTGTATATTATTAGCTTGTATTATGTTAACAGTTAGTGTAGAGCATAGTGTTAGTGGATTTAATACTTTGGCAGCTCCCAGACACTGTTGGAGGATGTGAATCTGTTCAGAGTTTCTGAACAGAATGTGGAGTGAGTTCTCTCTTATGGAGGAGAATATCTAATAATAATAATTAATAATAGCCAAGGGTTAGCACGTACCGGTATGGTACAAGACACTGCCCAAAATCAATGAATCAAGCCTGATTACAGTATTGATACAGTCTGACAAGTATCATTGCTGAATCATGCATGCTGCTCTGGCTGAACCAGTATTAATTTCAGCATGATTGTATCAAGGCTGATAGATCAAGCTAGGCTCATTGCTGCCCAAGATTTATGATTCAGGATGCATTAGGCCGGATCAGGACTGATATCATTCACAATTCAATCACAAACTCTTGGCAGTGTAATCATTATTATAATCTTCTCTTTCCTTACTCATCCTAAAATGATAACAATTATAAATGGCAGCTGCTAAAGCCCTCCATACACTAGGCAACATGTTGCTAGCAACTTCTGTGGTTACTTTGATCTTGTAATCATCTTGTTCCAAAAATAGAACAGAATTCTATTCTTAGACACAAGATCAAAGTGACCACAGAAGTTGCTAGCAACATGTTGCCTAGTGTATGGAGGCCTTTACACTAGTCTCAGTCCAGTTGCTTCACTCCTTCATATTTTCTCTGATCCACTATTATGAGACTACCTCTTGTGGTAGTCTTGGATACTGAATTATAAGAAACCAACTAGGTACAATAAAAGGAGGAGATGAGACCTTGAGAGGAAGAGAGAGAGAGGGGGGAGGGAGGGAGGGAGGAAGGGAGGGATATAGTGAGATATACATGTAGCATTAACCAGTAGTGCATTAATAAAAGCACAAATTAATACAAATATTTTAAAACAAGAGATCAATGATCCTCTCAGCTACATATTAACCTCCTGGGGAACCTTGAAGGTAAGTAAGTTATTATTTATAAACCTGAAATCAAGCGAACTGATTTCTCAATTGCAACTTAGTGATGTTAAAGTGATAGCATATTATTGTTGCACCTGTTAGTGTCCATTTTAGTTGAAGCTGTTCTACTATCCAACTCTCATAACTTTAATAACATCATCAGTGGAACATACTTCAATCTCTGTCAGCCCTTTGACACAATAAATAAATAATTAACAAGAATTATTACTTGTTGCTTACTGGTACATGTCATTCTTTCCTTTTTTGTGTATTTGAAGCTTCTCTTGTACTTTATTTGGTGACTTCAATAGATCATAAATTGACTCATTGTACACTTCAACCATTGACACCTAACAATCAACAAAATATCAATAATGAATCAATTCCTCCACAGCATAAGGACATTAATATGTATCAGAAAATGTAATAAAAATTTGGGGTATTGGGGCCATTTCTGGGAAAA